TCTCAGGAATAAAAAAGGAAGCTATTTCTTGATGCTTTTTCAAACTTCTGGTTGTGATATTCTTTCTCAGACAGAAATTGCATTACAGAGCTGGATCAAAAATGTCTTGTGTGAAAAAGAAGTCATACGATTTAACACAGATAGAGTTGATTTTAAAAAATGTGTGTAATTAGATGCATAATTCTTATGCATAATTTACATGCAATTATGTATGAAAATGAGCTATGCACAGGCATAAATGGCTAGCTAAGCACCTCACACACAATCACAGTAATTTTGCACAGAAATTAAACATGCAGTTGCAAACACATTTGAAAAAAATGAAGTCCAGTGAGGAGGAAAAATTTTATTTTTTTCTGAGCAGAAATTGTGTTAAATCCTCAGTCAGGAGTGGGAGAGTAAACAGCATAGAAGTGAATAAAAATATAATTGATTACAAACCAGTTTATGTTCAGTCATGGTAGAAGAAACAAAACCAAACATACTTTACCATTTTTATGAAGTGTCAGTCTCACTAGTGTAAATTTAGTACAATCCTGAGTAAACAGTGGTGTCAAGCTGTACAGCTCTTCTCCTCTCTGCCCCCTCCCCCAGAGGTTGTTTAGCTTGGGGGTTTCAGGGGCAATCTCAGTGTTTTCTGGCAGCTCTTTGAGCACTCTTAGCTGCTTTCTCCCTTAGGCTAGACTTTCTTTTCAGGAAAAAAAGCTAGCTGGACCATTCCTGATGCTCTAAGTAAATAATCTGTTATTTTTCTTGCCATGGCTAGAAGGTTTTGTCACTGACCAGAGCTTTTATGGTCCTGTGATACCAACAAAGAGGTGTTTCCTGCTGCAGAGTGCTTATAGTACTGTAAGTAAAAGGAAGTATAAAAACCTACAGGATTTTCATCAAATTTTTAGTGCTGATTGTTTTCACAACACACTCCCAATATCTGAGCTTTCATATCACACCCCAGACAACTAAAGCAACAAAATACTCACTTCAGTGACATTCATACACATCTCTAAAAACGTCTGTTAAAAAAAAGTTTGTATTGTGAAGTTTTTGGTAAAGATTTTGTTGTCAACTTTTAATTTATTTTTGTAGTAAAATCAGTAAAGAAAATGTTTGTTTATCCTCAGTCTCTCAGCATTTATTCTTTGAGTCTTGTGCTTTTAGAGAATTTTCAAGAAAATGTCTTAGCATTGCAGTGCATATTTAAAATGAATAAATTAAATATTTATGATATCACCTTTTAATATTTGTGTTCCAAATGACAGCTGAAAAAATATCTTAGCTATTCTTGAATACAGTAATTTGAATCCAGTTGTAATCAGAATTTTACTATTTCACTAAAGAGCATACTTAGGCTCCTTTGGGTACCTGAACTGTGTATACTTTGATTAAAGTAAATGCCTAACCCTGTTAGGTTAGGCATTCTAAGGATCATAATATGTGCTTATAATTAATAGCATTTAATTTATTTTAACTTTAATTAAACTCTGAAATTCCTACACCTCTCCTGTATTTTTTTCTTCCAGTTTGTAGTTCAAATAGGTAGCTTTCACTTTTGAGGAAAAAAAAGATGATGTGGCAGATGCACCATCCTTTTTTTTTTCTTCTCTTGTTGTTATCTTCTTTCCTTTTTCCTAACGTTTTTTCTTCTTGTTTAGGAAAGTATGTTCTTTGAATGTATACAAAACATGGAGGAAAAAACTTGTGAATTTATTTAATTTACTCCTTTTCCACATCAAAAAGTATCATCTTCTTTTCAGCTAAACCAAGGCTCACTTCTTCCTTGAAGATATAGTTCTGTAGTGGAAGCACTGATAAATTGCACAGTCTCAGTAGAATGTGTCTGAAGGAGAGTGCTCTGCAGGCAGGGAGAGTCTAGTGCTCATCTGCAGTAACTGAAAACAGAGCTGGTAAAAACATTCTCTGACTTTTGTTGGCTCATAATAAAAAAATTACACAGTGCATGTCTCTGCCCAAGATAAAAGGGGAGCAAGGACCTCCATACTTAAGTGTTGTGGTATTTCAGCACCTTAAACTTGGCCATGCTCATTCTCTCAGCTCCCTTCTGAGGTCAGGTTCTGTGGGCCAGGATGACAGTGCTATTTCTGTGTTCTCCAGAGGCCTGTGGAGTAGGAGTGAGTTGAACTATGGATTCCTCATTCCTTCTTTTTCTGTGTGCATCTCTGTTAGCAGGACACAGCCTGGCCTCAGATGTTCATGCCCTCTTAAAAACTTACTCTCAAAGGTATTGGTTACCTTCAACTCTTGTTACCAGCCATTGTCACTTCAAACAAATTCTTTTTGCCTTGTGCTCAGATGTGCTGCTTGACTAAACTGTGTGCATGAAACTGAGATTCAAAACAAGTCTGCGCAGAAGTAGAATGTAGGATAGAAATAAATATGTATGATCTTCTAAATCAGTGGTTCTCAACCTTTTTGAAGTTGAGTGGCACTTGAGAAAATTGGCTGTGCTCTGTACCTTGCTGAGGTCAGCTCTGAGCTTATGAGGAGCCATCACCTTGCTCTTTTGTTAAGTGCCTGTGTACTTGCTGGTTTTATGGAAATTATAATAAATCTGCTTATGATGTGAGCTATGTCATTCAGTGCTGTGTATCATTCTGTAGCCAGTCTGTTAGGGACTGTATGTTTACTAGGAGATCCTGTGGGAGAATATGTGTATTCTTGGGTGTACTGTAGGAATAGTAAGTCCTGTACTTACTGCAGAAATATTGGATATACTACACCTGTGAGATGCAATGCTCCATTTTATGACTAGTGAATCTGTCCCATAAATCCTGGAATTTCTGTGTATCCATTGTAAAGAAGAAACAGCTTGATTTTGGTTGGTTTTTTTTTGTTTTTTTTTTTTTTTTCCTTCCTGGGTAAAGTGTGTGTGTATGCATTGCATGATGCAGTAAATCTGATAACTCATGGACACCCAGCTCACTGTGTGCAGCTCTGTGTGTATGGTGTGTCTCACCCAAGCTGTGCCAGCAGGTCCTCATGCCATTGTTACACGTGCTGTTAACGGGATGTTTTCCAGCAAGCCTGTGATACATGTGGTGTACAGCTCACTCTTACATGTGCAATCAGCACATCCAGAATGTCTTCACATACAGCAGCCTGGATAGAGCTACAACAGTCCTGAAGCTGAAAATTTGGATAACATTTTCATGGGCAAGATAAGATAGTATTAACTAAACAAGTATAGTGGCCTTACCTAAGTAAAAAACCCAAAACAACTACAGGGAAAAAAAGCCACCCAACAAATAAAACATTTTCAGCTCTTCTTGTTCTGGTCAAGTAGGAAAGGGGAAAGAGGACACAAAGGGAAATCCAGCTACTTGAAGGAAGATAGAGGGATGCAGTGTGGGACATCTGAAAACATGGGAATTACTTCTGAATAGAGACCAAAGTGCTTGCATTAAAGCTACTGGTGTTCCAGGAGGGTTAATTAGAAAACACCAAACTGACCCCGTATCTTAAAGCTGCACCTTCAGTCCCTGGATTGCTGCTTTTCCCTGGTTTTCTAAACAAGTTAACTGTTGTCTGCCTGCCAGATATTGTTAGATCCATTCTCAAGCACAGCTTGTGAGCTGCCACTGCCTTGCACCTGAGGCAGAGATGAGAGTAACAAACCCCATTAGGCTCTCCTCGTTCATCCCAGGTATGCTCAGGAGCATCTGTATCCCCCTCTCTGACCATGTGGAGATACTTGCACTAAGATGAGTTCACAGTAAGACCTGCATCATCTTGCCCATGTATTGGGATTATTTTAGTAATTATCAATAGTTTCACAGATTGGCATGTATTCTACTTTCTGTCCTGTTTGCATAAAAGTGTGACTGTCTGCTTTCCTCATGGTTTTTTTTGTTTGTTATCAATGCCAACAGTCTTTGGTAGTATATTGGTTTCTTTTATATGTGATACTTCTAATCTTGGTTTATTTTGTGACGGTGAAAGTTATCCAAATATTAATCAAATTTTGGTAAGGTACTGTTACAGTAAAGGATTTTCACATAGAGATGTCTTTTATTACTGTGTTCACAGAAATTCAGCAGAACTTATAAGAAGTGTAAACTTTTTTGAAGATTTTTTATGGTTTTGATGTAGCAACATGTAGAGAGTATAAAAAGCAGTTGCAGTGAAAATTCAACTTGCCATCTCTGCTTTCACATTGCTAACAATATTGGCAACTTTTGTTTAACAAACAGATTAGCTTTAAGTAAAATTATATATCCTCTAATAGTACATCACCTTACACCTTCTGCTGTCTCCTGCTCTAAGTTGCTATTTCATTAATAATGCTTCTTCAACTATTTTTTTCCCTTGACTGTTCTCTAACCTACATCTATGAGGTTCTCCTTAGAAAAAAATCCCAACCATCTTCCCCAATATTATTTGAAATAATATTAACATATATTGAAATAACAATAAAATAATAGATTATTTTGCACATCCATCTTGGGACTTGTCCACAGGAGCATTTGTTCCAGCACTGCTGAGGGGCACACCCTTCAGCCATGGATGCAATATCATGTGGTAACAGAGGGAATATGTAAACTGGATCTGCTGTTGATTGACTAGATGATCTGGATACTCTGTTTGCTATAATCCTCATTAGTAGTGCTAGAATGATTATGGGGAGAGGTGGTAAGAGGCTGTAGCAAGAAGCATTTGCCTGGAACTAAAGATACAGAAATTCTGCACCTTTGAAAAGATGCAGGATTTAATTGACTTGTTCAATACCTCAGAAAAAATCCATGTCCTTGTAAGTTACAATCCAAAAGTTTGTGACTTGGTCTGTCTGTGGTTCTGCCTCTTGAACTTCTCACTGTGAGTCACATAGAAATCACACAAACACCCATTTACATGTACAGATGCCTACATATGTATATATGTAAGCCTGGAATTGTAATACTACTTTAGTTGATAAGAACAGCATACTGACAAGAAAAAATGGTCCTAAAATAACAAATATTTTTTCCTGTTTTTCATTTTGCTAGTGTTGTAGCTAAGGCTGAAGGAATTGCGCCATTAATTAAAACCTTGAATGCCCAGAGGGATGGAGCCATTTCCAATGCCATTGCAGTGCTCACCAATCTGGCCCTGCAAGAGCCCATCCGTGCCAGTATCCAGAGCCAGGGCATCATGAGTGCCCTTGTGGGGCCACTGCGCTCAACCAACAGCCAAGTGCAGAGCAAAGCAGCCTCTGCCGTGGCTGCCTTTGCTTGTGATGCTGGTGCACGAGCTGAGGTAAAACTGAGGTTGTGTTTACTGATGATGTTTCTAGGTCTGAGGTGGGAGTTATATTGACCAAGAATCTGTTGTGTCTGACCTAAAAGTCCTGAGATTTCTATGTAGTTACTTATTTTTGTGATACTTGTTCTGCTAAATATAGCTCCGTTTTTTAGGAGATTTTGGAAAGGGTTTTCTTTAACTTGAATTTTCATGACTGTGTTTGCTTGCACCAAATTAATGCTTTGCAGCTTTTCAGTGGCTTCAATGAACTTTAACTAGGGCTGTATCTTGATCTGTATATTTAGGAGCATTAAACATCAAGGTTTCTTTCAGCCGCAACTGTCGGCTCAACTTTGAAGATGGGAAGTTCAGTCCTCTTTACTCTCCCTCAGTGTTCTGTTGCCCATTTTCAAGGCCTGAACGGCAATGTCTGACCTTGATTAATGAGATACTGGATGTGCATGGAGTAAATGTATTTCAGACAAAACTCAAAATATAATTAATCCTTTGATCAGTGACATCTAGCAAGTTGAACTCTTTTCTGTTTATGAATTGGTCATAGTATTTTCTTCTCATAAATAAGAATGATGCTATGTGCATTCATAAATCATAAGCTAGGGTTTTCTCATGGGTCAAGGCTATTAATTAGGACATGAATAAGGGGCATAGATAATTAATCTACCTCTTTCAGTGTCCTTAAAATGTCTTTCTCTTCAAAAATCCAAATGAGCAATATTTCCTCCAGCATGTATAGGAAAGATACTGTAGCACACAAGAGAATAGGATGTTAATAAGATTGTCATACATACAATACAAATTCAAATGTATTGTGATGGAAATTAGTTGCTAGGAGGCACCAGAGCACAGAAAAAGCTGTGTAAGTCTCTGAGGCAGTCTTGGGTTGCATAGTCTTTTTGGGTTCCACACAGCAGCCTAATAACTGAAGAGCAGGGCAGAGCCAGAAGGGATGACTGCCTTGTACCACTTTAAAGCTCCAGCCTATGCAGACTTCACAGAAGCACAGAATCCCCATAAATTACCTTTTTTCAGTGTGGCTTTTCTACAAAGCTTGAATGTTTTGGGAGGTGAATTTCACAAGCTGTTCTTGCTGGAATAGATGAAATATGTAAGTGGCAGTGTTTTCACCTTTTTAATAGTTAAGAAATGTCGGCGGGCTGGGACCACTCGTTGAATTGCTGCATTCCAATTATGAAGAAGTCAGAAGAAATGCCTGTTGGGCTGTTATGGTCTGTGGAAGTGATGAAGTAACTGCTTTTGAACTGTGCAGGCTAGGGTGAGTAGAAATAATATCAAAAGTCAAAAGAAAATTTTTGATGAGAGAACTCAATTTAAGTGAATCTTTGCATATTTGTAGCTGAATAACAAATCTTTCTGATAAGCTGAAACTACTTTTGCATCACAGATGTTACAGATGAAATGGTATTGATTTTAAGGAACAGGATCTTCTGACAAAATATAAGCCTGTTGATAGAACTGTCTAGAATTATAAAACATTTATTGTTTCAGTGACTGAAATAGGCTTTATATTGAAGATAACTTATATCAGTCAATTTTAGGGACTACAGTACCCCATACATTTGAAAGTGAAATAAAGGTTTCAGACTAAGTTTAATATACAGTAAATTGTACTTACTGCACACAGACTAGATTTGATTTAAAAGCTCTGGTTAACTGCAGGTGTGCTGAAGTGTCATGGAAAAGTGGCTCTGTTTTATTCTTTCTTAGGAACTCCCAGGTCCATATATTAATATCTGAATTAGAAAGGCTGGTTTAGGTTATAAGAATTATGACTCGGGACTCCTCAGTCAAGGCGACTCTTTTAGTTACTGTTAAATTAAAATATTTGTAATTGCCCTGCTCCCTCTGCTGGGCACTTCTCTGGTGGCTGCACAGATACTGTAAATCCATCTATGAGGGAATTTCAGAGACTCTCAGAAATTCAGATCAGGAGGGGCCCTCAAAGGTGATATTATCCATCTATCCTAGTGTAAGACTGAATAAGGTACACTGCCATATTTTGGCTTGGGTAAATTTGGGTAAATACTGATCCTGCTGGAGTTTGACAACATTCTGAGGTAACCTGTTCCAGTGCTAGAATATCTTACACTTAAAAGGGGTTTCTCAGTTCCAAATATCCCTTTAAACAAATTATGTTGTCGTGCTTTCAGTGAGATTGAATAACCACTTTTAATAGCAATTTGAGTTTAACTCACTTAATTTTCTCATTCTCAAACCCCCTTGTTTCTTTTTCATGACAAAGTAAAAATGTTATACAAGTTTTGTTTGTATCATTTCATCACACATCTCTGAGTTTCTCTAATTTTTTATGCCATTTTGAAGTACCATCTCCCAGCCTGGATGAGATACTTCAGGTGAGGTCATGCCACCATCAAATAAAGCTCAATAATTATTTTCTCTGTCCTGCATATGGCACTGTTCTTATTTAATCCTTTTTTTTTGACAGTATCCAAGCAGGACTCCAATTTAAGTGTCCTTCAAGTTTGATAGCATATTATTGATAATAATACATTAAGCATAGTTTTTCAGCTAGTCAAACACTACTTCATGTTATTTTCATGTCGATTATATTTCCCTGACCTGCTCATGAGTATCCAAGTAGGAATAAGTGAAAAGACTTATAAAAGTCAAAACGTATCTCAAATTCAGCTCATATCTCACAACTACTTCTTCTGCCTAGATGTTGAGTCAATTACCCTATTGCATCAAGGATCAGATTGACTTTTCATGGTTGATTCTTGACAAATATGTAATGGCTATTTCTCATCTCTTGTTGCTTGCCTGCTGATGGTTTAATAATTTGTTATGGTGTTCTTCAGACACTGAAATTTGGCTGAATGATCTCTATTATAATTTCCTTGTTCATCACTTTTTGCAAAACTAGATAGTATCTTTGCCCTTCTCCACTCTCTAGCCATCTAGCCTAGAATTTTCCTATACAAGTATAAATAGTTCCAATGTTGCTTTTGCAAATTAATAAATTGTATGAGGTAAGTGTCCTCAGGGACTGCTAACCCTGTCTCCTCAAACTTATCCTCAACATCCTAAGACTATTGTTTCTACCTCCTTGTTAATATTACTGCCAGGCATCTTCTTGAAACCTTTCTATGAAAACTGAAGCAAAAAAGGTATCAGACTCTTCAGTCTTTCTGTGCCATCTGTTATGAGTTTTCTTCCCACATTGAGTAATAGATGTACATTTTCATCTCTTACTTGGAGCATGTGAAACATTCATTTTTGCTTCAGTCCCTGAATAGTTGTGTCTCATCTTTCAGGTTTGTCCCTTACTTTTTCTATTTTGTTGAAAGTGTCAGTGTTTCCATTTCTGTTTGATTCCTGGCTTTTTTTTTTTT